TATAAATCTATCTACCAAACTAGAACCATTAAATACATTTAAAATCAGTATTTAGTATGTGTTTTGTAATTATTTTTTGATGTCTTGAAGTCTTAAACACTTATTTGTCTTTTGTAATTAAAAATTAATTTTTTTAAATATAACATTTTACATTCTAGTGTTAAATTTACAACTTACAATATTTTGTAATCCCATTTCTATGTGAACAAGTCGCTTATTTTCATAAATATATTAATCAACATGATACATAAATAGCTAAAATGACGATTAGAGATGGAGTACACAAAGTTTTAGAAAGAGCCCCGGCAAAAATTTGAGCCCCAGGGCCCCGAAGGGCGAAGTTACGGCACTGAGTACATTCCTATACAACTGAAAAGAGAAGGAGAGGGAAGGGGGTTGGGTCAAGACAACACCTCCTAGAAAAGAGTAGGCCTCTGCACGGGTTACTATAAATATCCTTTAGTAGTCCAAACGTAATGACATATGTCTTATTTTCAACCACTGCGCAGCTTAGTACCCCGAACATAATGACATCTTCCTTCTTTTTCATCTATTGCGCAGTTAACTTCGTCACATCGGACTACTAAATTGATATGTGCTGAGGCCTTCATACTTCTAGGAGGTGTTGGTCAAGACCGGTGATATCGGATTGCGCTAATGGTTTTCTAAAGTATGAGTTCTGGGAGAAATACTAAATTTCGATTAAACTGCAAAAACCTTACTTTAAAGTGGTTGCATTTAATGAACTTTAAACCAATTTTAAGCAATCAATATTAACCAAAATTCTGCATATTATTTTTTAAAAAATGTGTACAGGAAATGTTTGAATTTTTACCGTTCATCTTGTAAAAAGTTCATAACTGCAACACTGAACAAAAGCCGCGGTGGGGAGAAGTCATGATTTTTTTAAATCACAAAATCGTATATATTTGATTTAAATCTGATTTTTTTTTATTTAAATCATATTCTTTGTATTTTTTTAAATCAATATCTTTAAATCTCTTTATTATCTTAATAATTTTCTTAAATCAATCAGCATCAAAAGCATGTGATAAAAGATTTTAATAAGACTTAATATTGTTTAAAAATAATGCAACTAATAAAGTTATTATTTCTTACTAAAAATGGAGAAAATTATTACTATATTATTGCATACTAATCATNGTGCGACGTAAATCAACAACAACAACAACAATCTTACTAAAAATGGAGAAAATTATTATTATATTATTACATACTAATCATTGAGATGAGAAAAATCATAGTCGTATTTTTCAAGTTCAACTTTCTGATGATTGTTAAAAATTGGGATACAATTTTTCAACTAAATACCTAATGAAGAGAAAATTAGTTTAGAAAAGAACACATAACTGAAAAAAAAATTATGTCACTTTTGATTGAGCAAGTTTTGATGCACGCTAACTTCATACATAATAAGATATAAAAGCTCTGCTTTTCAATTAGCAGAAAACTAAATGGGTGTAATTTAAATATGCTATAGCCAGAAAATTATTTTAAATCCATTTAATGGACAGTTACAATTTAAAAGTTTCATATCACTCTTACTTACATTTACTCTATTTTGAAACATAATAATTTAAATGCATATCCTTTTCAATATTTTTTAGCAAAAAATCCTCATTATCAATAAAATCAGATTTTAAAAATTTGCCCGTCTAAAGAATGTATTTATTAATTTTATTGAAGAAAAATGTTTTATGCTTAAATTATATTTTCTTTCAATCAATATTTTTTCAAAATTTGTTTAAATTATTGATTTACTTTTTAAAAAAATAACCACTATTGATTTGAATTAATACATTTTTTTAATAAATAACGAAAGGGTTTATATAGTAATTTCAATGCGTACGCCTTTTATCATTTCGTAGTGAAAAAATAGCTCCCTTTAAAAAGCGTTCATTATCAGGGAAATCAGACTTTTAAAAAATCACACCTTTAAGAATGTTTTTATTAATTATATCATATGAAAATATTTTAAACTAAAATTAATAATTTTTTTTAATAAGTATCCTCACATTAAATGTTATGAAAATTATGTTTGTTTAAGATAGTGTTTTTTAAGAATAATCACAGCTGCTTTAAATCAGTAATTCCTTAAAAAAATATCAAATGATTTAAATCGCGATTACATTCGAAATGCATTATTTTCTAGTTGTAAATCTAATCCTGACTGCAATATCTCAAATTTAATCCCAGCATAACTTGGCATATTATATTTTGATATATTTCTCGGCTAGGTAGAAGTTATCGCCAATAAAGCGCATGATTTTCATAAATTAGGCCAATCAAATGTCAATGAGAAGAGAGACTTGCCTAGAAGCGCAATCAGCATACTGTGAGGAGTGGAGGTAATAATTGAGGCCATTGATGAGTGCAGCCCACCAGTGCCCGGTCAAGACATGGAACCGGTCATCTCCCCAGATAGCGTATTCGAGCATCACGATCGCGAATTGCAAATGGAGCAATGAAACGCATCAGCGCAGAGTCAAATTTTGTTTGAGCGTGACGTTACAGAGACGCATTTAATGACGCCATGTATCTAAGAAAACCATTCTGAAGGATGAATGCAAATGTGTAAGGTGTGTAAGAACCTATTAGTAAAATATATCTTTTCGTAAAATACGTTTATTATATTCTCGCTCGCACCATCGAATTCGCTTTTGCGATTTTTTTACTCCCAGTGTAAAATGCCTCTCAAGAGTTTTAAGCGTCTCGCAGTGGATTGATCGTAAATAAACACTTTCCAGTAGAACACCGAAGTCAAGCATCACATGGTGCTGACAGTAAACGGGTGATTGACCACTTTGATCAGCCTGGTTAGGGGCCGAGGGGGAGCTGAATAGGACTTCGTCAAACTGTTCTACAGTAAAGTGCTCAACTTCACGCTGTAGGTCGCCAGACTCAAAGCACGGGAGCCATCCTCTCTACCAGGGCCCGATTAACCTCTGAAAATAGGGGAAACGTAATAGGATTTTGGGGCCCCCCTAACTTGAGCAAAAGAAACTTTTGATATTTTTCGCCCATAAACAATACATTTTAAAGAGACAAGAACCATGTGAAAACTATTAAAACCTTAGAAAGGAATACAGAGACCTTATGCAATCATGTCGGATCCTTCCTAACTTATTTCTTTTGCAAAAAATAAGAAATTGGGCCCTTAATTTCAGTCATTTGGGGCCCCCACCTAGAATTTTACTGGGGAAGCACTTGCTTCCTGTGTCTTTTCAATAATCAGGCCCTGCTCTCTACACAGGATCAAAATTGCGATGGCATGTCTTCGGACTATCCTCAGAGATGTTTCCCAGACTGTCACCTATAGCCCATTGTGCAGCTCTAGTGAGACAAAAATAAACTACCTTACCTACCTAGAGTTGTAATATGGATGGTTGAATGTAAGCAATTGCAAGCTTTCTAAAACTGGTAGAAATTTAGAAAACTTCTAGTTTATCCCTCCGCTTATGTTATGCTTACGAGTTGATGTGTGAACAGGCTTAATATTCCAGGAAGTTTTATTTGTGATTTGTGTTTGAATTTACGCATAATTTTACCATTCAAAAGATTGTTATATAATTTATAAATTCAAAGAGGTCGTGATCACAGCATGAATAAAGTGTAAGGTTTGTCATATTTTGAGGGTTATCCTTTATTTTGCTATAATTGTGTAAAATAGCACCGTCGGTTATTTTTTGTGCAGCATCATAGCAAGCTTGCGGAGTTTGCTAATTCATTTGTTTTATTGAAGCATCAGGAACCTATAAATCAACACTTCAACAGGTATATTGGATGGTGTGTTTTTTTAAGCGTAGATGTAAAAATCAGTCGCAAGTAGTAACCTGGAAGTCTTACAACAAATTTTAACCCCTAACACTATCTGCGCTTAGCTGGACACGGTCACCCATCTATACGTCTGATTTTATTTTTTGCACTAAACATGAATCATGTTATGTTCAAAACCCATGAACGAAACAGTTACTTTTATCGATGAACGTGTCTTGATATAATAAATAAAATTTTAGTGTAGATGAGGTAGAAGTTTTCTAATACTTTGCTTTCATAGCATTTTCTTAAAGAAATGTTTGTAATATAGAAAATGGTAATTTCTTAAGCAAAAAGGCGGTTTAGTCACTTTAATTTTATTTACTCAAAGAAAACTCTTCCCTAGTAAGTTATTTTGTTTAGTCTCCCTTCTTATCCATCGAACTTCGAGTCAAATCCAGAAGAAAGTTCGCCTACTTCAAATATCTTCGTGAATTTGCTAAGAACTTTACTACGATAATCTTGTAACGAGAGTACGATAATCTTGTAATCCCTAAACCCTCCCCAAAAGTACACACTGCTTTCTTGTTATGGTCAAAGGAATAAAATTAATTGTTCTGATAATAAACGAAACATGAAATATCGGCAATAGATGTATAGTATTGAGGAAGAGGGTCTCAACTAAGTCTATAGCTCAATCCACAGAAGAGTAACTTTTAAAATCTAAAGCAATTCATAGAGTTACAATAGTTTAAGTCAAGGCATGAAATTTCTGTTGCCTAACTAAAATTTCTGCTTGCTATTTGTATCGAAAATATGAACAATTGTTAAAAAGTTAACAGGTATAGTGACCAAAACATTGAAAAAGTTTAAAAATAGAAAAATTGCAACATAATAATTGAAAATACGAGTATAATAAATTAAAATGAGATAATAAATCACATGGTTCGAAAATCATTCACATATCATTAAAATAACTTCATGCTAAAATAACTTCTCGTAGGTGAGGGATGGGGTCTGTTGAAAAAATGTGCAAATTCAATCAAAAAGCTTGATTTGAAATACAAAACATGCTCGCCAGCACTAAATATTCAGTCGCAAATGGCGAGCTGTTTTAAGTGACAGTGTGTTTAAAAGCGTCAAAATAGCAAATGCTTTTCAATTTCAATTGATAAATTTGTTTTGTTTGTGTCATTTTAAAGTTTTACATAAACCATAACACGATAATAAAATAAAATTTATGTAAAGTTTAAGAGGAACATCAATACAATGTAATACATAACAATTTTTCTTTAAGTAATTGAAACAGAGTACAATATCCTAGATTCCAGCTGGGAAACTATCAGATCGTGGATCAACTCCCGACCACCAAGTATTTTGAGCATCACCATGCAAATCCTTATTAAAAAGTTTAGGTCTAGCAATAACACTTCCTTTTCCAAACATTAACCTGTCTATATCTTTAACAATCTTGCATTGATGGCCTTTGCTCTGTAACGTGGAAATAGCGGCAGGATTTATACCATCTTCAAGACATATGAGGCTAAAACTTTGCCTGCAAAAATAACCAAAATGTTAGAATTTAGTGGACTATTTAGCATATGATTAAACTCACGAGTCCCTTAGCTTAGAGTAAGGAACTAGTATTCTAAGTAGTATTTTGCGCGGCAAATACTCGTGGTGGAACAAAAGCCAAGAGTCTATTCCCCGTGTCGACCATTAAAAAGTCTACCAATTAACATTTACAGAGCTAAGAAAAATCCCTTTCTGCACCTCACCGTTGTTCGAGGGTGAAACGCCTTCGGATGGCTAACGCAAACGGAGAGTAGACCGAAGAGGCCATACAAACAAACAACCTCCCGTGGTTTCTTTCTTGGCTGATTGAGTGCTATTTTTTCTGCAGGCCACTTAGTATTTTAACTGTCTTATCAATTTAGAGTTTTATGATGTCGGTGGGCGACAAGAAAGAGGACGGACCTCCAACCGACAAGACCAGAACTCAACTTTAGGTGGGGTACTCTTTCGTAGATGAAAATTTACGTTGTTGATATGACTCTCCCACAACCATTAAATATCAACTACTGAAACAAATATATTATATCTATATATGGGACAATATATATTATACCTATATATACGTTTTTAAATGTTAATAAATTAAGTTTACCTTAGATTCTTTGTTTGGCTACCCCTCAATATATTTCAGAAAAATGGAAAAAAATTTTGACAGTTTAATTTTGTTCTTTATATTATTATAAAAGTTAGAAAATGGTTTTTTTTATTGCAAAAGTAAAATTTTAAATGCAATAACTACAGTATTTATAATTTTTACACACACATTAAAAAAGTAATGAAATACAAACACATCTTACTCAATTAGAGCAAATTAAACAAAATTTTAAAGCTAAATATTTCCCCCATCCACATTTCCCTCCCTCGACTGAAGTCGTAATCTGTGAAAAACTAGGACCACTAATGCCATCTATTAAAAAAATAGTGAATTAAGTATCCTAAAGTAGAAACGAACTCAGCTCGGGCATCACAAATAATGCACGTAGTAGTTTGCCTAAACTGGATTCGCGCGATACTGGCAAGGGGTTAAATATTCTGGGAAGTTCGGGCTTCCGAGTTGGCAGCTTTACCATTTTGTGGCAATTGTGTCAAAAAGTAATCCTATTTATCCATGTCGTTTAGTTTTAAATTCTTTTTCTACTACATTCTTACCTTTTTCTTGGGGTCCAAAGGAAATAATATGTCCCAAGTAGATAAGAATGTTACATAAAAAATACATCATAAATCTTAATAAAGAGGTGGAAAACATTACTTGTAGTCAGCAGCAAATCTATTTGAATCACCAACAAAGAATCTTGGTTGGCTCAAAGCAGTTTGTGGATCCATTCCAAAAATAATCATATTCAGCAAAACCTGAAATAAGAGTTAGGAGGATGCTTAAAAAAACAGAATGTCTGAGAAATATTGCCAAAAAAATTTCAAAAGAACGAACTTTATCTCCTAATTTCCCTCCCTAAAAGTGTGGCAAAAGGCAACTTCAAATTCTCATTTTTTGTTGCAGTTTTGAATTTTCCAGGAAATAAACACTCGAATTTATTAAATCTACAGGTAATCGCATTCGGATTCAGAGATGGGGCTGTAATTTAAAAATTAAAATGTGGTAAAAATCGTTTTAAATTAAAAGATCTCGTGAATCACATGTCAGATGAGAAAAAATAAATAAATACCAATAGACGTATTTTATAGCTTGTAAAACCTATTCTAATAACACCAATCTAATATAGATGCAGTTTTTATACGTAAAATTAAAGGAAAGTGTTTTTATTCAAATTAAAGAAAAAATTAGCATAAAAATTACAATAAATGCTTACTTGTATATGACCTTGAGGCTGCATCCATAATCCCATCACTCCGAATACAGCTAAAAGTTCACCAGTTCGAGAATCTGTAACCATACCTGGAATAATTGTATGAAGGGGAAGTTTTCTTGGACCGTATACATTTGGACTGTTTTGAATCAAACTCATGCACTTTAATCGGTTCTGAAACAGAAAAGAAGATAAATGTGAGGTATTATCAATAAAGCCATTGCTTCTACAAAAGTCTTGAAGCAATGCACGAGTTCCTTGACTGCGGAGCGTAATCCGAATCGGCAAAACTGTTACTAAACGTAAAAAGTTGAAAATGTTTTATTATTTTAATCGCCTACAGAATGTCCCTCCTATCTCATTTATTTAATTCTAAATGATTTATAACTAAATAAAACCTTTTAATATTTTTTTAAAATTTTTAATAAAAAAAAATTTACAAAATACTGTACAGATTTCATTTCTTATTGTAACTTTTTCGTTGAAATATAAATTTATATGAAATAGGTGCTGGTATGTACTTTATTTACGTCGCTCTAGATCTGCACAATGGACTATTGGCTAAGATCAGGGAAACATCCTTGGGGATGATCCAAAGACATACCACCACAAATTTTATCCTCTGCATGGCGTCTCATTCGTGAGGTGATTTTCTCAATCTCGACATATATCTGAAGAGAAGCAATATAATGTCGCGACCTAGGCCCATAGGGCCTATACGCCATGATATAGGCGGAAGGGAAGGAAATTTTCTTCAGATTCCTGTACCCATGGTACTGCTCAGGGACCAATCACAAGACTTATGATTTCACAGATTTCACAAGCGCATACATCGCAAGCACTCGGAGGGTATTAGCGGTGTTCTCTAATCACTGGGCTCAGTGGCGTATCTAGGGTATGGCAGGCATGGCGAGAGCCATGGGCGCATTATTTGAAAAAGGCGCAAAATCAACCAACATCAACGTCTTTCTTTTTTTCAATTTTTCAAAATATTTTGATATTTTGCTTGTTTTAAAAAAATAAATTTAACATACNCCATTTCCTTCCTCGTCCACAACAGCTAGATAAGTTGTGCTTCCACCTTCAAAAGAAACTTCAGGCTTCGAAGCTCTAGAAACAAAACAAATTTATCCAATTAATTTTAAATATTACTCTATAAATAAAGGGCTTGGGCTATATAGTAATAAGCCACATTTATTCCAATAGACATTTTTACACCAAACTCTTGCTTATTGTAATATCCTAATAAAATAAATAACTTTACAAGTTCCCGGAATTTTCCCTCTCAGAATAATAGTCAACAACATTAACATACTTCGAGGTTAAGCCTAAGCAAAAAATTAATTCATGGCCCACGATAGTCATGAAATCATAATATCGCAAGAGAGCAGAAAATCAGGAAGAATGTAGCGAGACATTTTTAAAGATTGTTCTATACAGTTTTTTTTCTCCAAAAGTTGGTTCAAGTTGGCATCTCTGAAAAAAATGCTATAAAAAGTTGTTAATTTTAATTTCTTTTAATAAGATTTAGAATTTTATGAGACAGACACTTCTTTCTTTTTTAGTCGCCCGTGGTAACACTGTGAGTCTGACATTTGTTGAATTAGTGTTGCCAAACTGGTTTCACTGCATCGGTGGAAGAGTTGGCAGATACGCACAAGTGTTTCTTATTTATTTTTTAAAGAAGTTAATAGAATAACAAAAAAAATTATGAATCTCTCCACAAAATTTATTATGATAATGTTAAAAATTTACCTTCTCTCGTCGATTTTCTTGCACAACTTATTAGCAGTGGTTTCAGAAAGAAGATTTTGAAATGAACTAGTAGTATGATCTGGATCACAAATGTAATCCCAGCATTCCGTGTATGAAATTTTTATAACCTCTGCAACAATGTGTATGTATTCTGCTGTATTGTGCCCTAAACCTAAAATTAGAAATTTTTCTTCAGTTTATAATTAGCAACATGAAAGTTCTAAATTCTAACAAAATTTTAAGTGGTACTGAAATAAACAATTAATGCAAGCAGATTTTTTTTTAAAATTTTGTCAGCAATTAAAAACAGGACGTGATAATCCGAATTAATTATTAATGTGGGGCGTAGATCACAACAATTTGAAATCGAATTTATTAAATTAATAACAAAATGTTAGAGAATAAATTTTGCTACCACTTTAAATGATCGGGTAAAAAATGCCCCAGAAAGTAAGAGGAGTTGGCATCTATGAAAATTTTAATTTCATTGCAATTTACTGTGCATTTAAAACGACATTATTTCATTGCGCATTTTGTAGCTCTTATCATCCATATTAAAACACAAAATCTGAAAATTGAAAAATTTTTAGAAATACACTCATATTCATAAATTAAGGATAATGCCAGTTTGTGTACATAAAGATATAAAAAAAATGTGGCATGACGTTTACACAAAGCCAATTTAGGAAACAAAAGAAAGAGGACAAGATGGTACAAGAAACGTTCATAAGAATACGGCGCACGCTCCCTACCTCATAGAGTAAAGAGTATAGGTAGAGTTGACATGAGAAAGTAACAGTGAAGCCATCACTGTAACCGGTCGGCCATATTGGTTTATGCAAAACATTCGAACGCTGCTGTCTTCTGCGCGTTGAACTTGCTGATATGAATGTTATTTTTATCGGTTTTTTTTATTTTTCTTTAACGATTTTCTTTATTTAACCTTTTAAATCCAATAAACTTTTTCAAATCCAATGGTAAATTGGTTCATCCTAGCGATGACGTTTTTATTATTTGTAAAAAAAGTGAAATGGTTTTTCGGCAACGTAAAGAAAATAGCTTAAATTTAAAAAAGACTAAAATTGAAGTACTTCAAAGTGTGAACTGGAGATATCTATTTATAGATTTAAAAGAACCATCAATATGACAATGCTCCGCTTGATAATCATGTTGTTCATCTCGTAAAAGCAATTGTCTGTCAATACCTAAGTATACGAATGAAGTATTATTGTAAAAATTTGTTTCAAAATTCTCTTTCAGATAGACAACTTTTGACAAAAGCAATATTATTCAAATGTCAGTAATTACATTGTTAAATTTAGAATTACTCAAATTATAAATCATTTGATCCATCTTTATTATTGGCAGATTTTTACAAAAGTATATTTCATTTTATATGTTGCATAATCTAGGTTTTAAAAAATGCCTAAATTTTACTTGAGCTTTGAAAAGTACATATGGAAAAGAGGTAAAACTAATTTCATTATAAAAAGCAAGGTTGATAAAAATCATGATTTTATTTAAACAAATAAATTTGCTTGATGGTCTTACAGATTCATTGATTTAAAAAAAATTTAGTGAATAAAAACTCTTGTTGTTAAATAATTTAAATATTAATTTACTCTAATAATTATTAAACTATTTATCATTTTCAATATTATTGCAAAACCCATTTACAAGATCGTGACAAATTAAAGTATTAATTTAAATTTTTTAACAAATGTATGAAATGTTTTTTACAACTCTTATTAAAATTCAATTCTTTTCAAAAAATGACAATACTTCAATTGAGGGATATAATTTATGAAGGGAAAGTTTTTCTTCTAAAATTAATAAATGCATGAAAATTTTTTTAACAATAAAGTTACGTTTTTTTAAATTTTTGTTTTTTGTGTACTTTTAAATGTGTATATTTTTAAACTCTTTTCATTTGCAATTTAATGCAATATTTTACTGTCGAATAACCAACATTTATTATTCATATTTGTGAGTGAAGAATTATTATTCTTGACTAATAATTTCTGATAGTATTTACTTTAAAAAAAATAAGGAAATTGATGGTATATAATGTAAAAATAAATAAAATGATTTATTTTTCTTTTATGTCTGTGTATTTTTTAAGAATAAAATAAGAAATTCATTTTCATGAACTGAGAAGAAAGAATTTAAAGTTCAGTATTATTCTATTGAATAAAAGAAATATATAAAATAAATATAATAATATATAAAGCTTTTAATTCAAATTTTTTATTAAGTATCAATGTTTTTTTACAACTTTTATTAAGTAATACCTTAATAAAAGTTCAATTATTTTCTATGATGATTCAATCAACAAAAAATGACTGCTTCAATTGAGGGATATAATTTATGAAAGGGAAAGTTCTTCTTCTAAAATTAATAAATGCTTGAAAAAATAAATAACAAAAGACTTTTTTTTTTAATTTTTCTTTTTTAAGCATTAAATACAAAAATAATAGTTGAAAATAAAAAGCGTTTTAATTTAAACTATTTTTTTTTCATTTAAGTGTCAAAAAAATAAATCTACGTACATAAAATATTAGATTTTTTGGCATAAAAATGATTACATTTAATCTTTAGTTATGTTATTTTTATAAATATTAAATTGTAATAAACGATGTTTTTCGTGTAACTAAAAGCAATAAAAAAAAAAACACTTAAAAACCTTCCATTTATTAGCAATGCAACCATAGGTTACAATGAATACTTTGCATAATCCAAGATGGCCGACAGTTACTTCACTTTCTACTCATAGGAGGGTGGGAAATGTCATCTCTACTTATACTCTTAACTCTATGCCCTACCTAGAGTAATCGGAGAAAAAGACATCTCCCTTAATTTCCATTCTCACTGCATATGTTTCCCACACCTCCTATCGCTGTCTGATTGGTGAAATATATTTTCCAAGGAAAAACTCACCAATCATATTCAGTTTTCCCTCAACCTGGATTGCAGATGCATAAAACACATGCAGTGTGAACGGTCTTTTACAAAAGCTTAACAGTATATAGTTGGTAGGACGGTTAATAATATGCATGCTTCCCATACTCTGCAACCAACCCGTTTAATGTCTAAGCTGAGTATCAAATAATCGAGCTGATCTTGGAGCAAATTACTCCAAAGTTTAATCCATGCTCTCCGAAGCTCCAGTATACAAGTAGTTAGAGTCGATTGATGGGTTGCAAATCATCGATCGAAGCAGGTCCCACATTTGTTCAATCGGTTTCAAGTCAGGTGACAATGCTGATCATTCTAAAGTGGTGTTATCCTCAGATTGAAGGCTCTCGCTTATGATGTTTGCATGGTGAGGACGAATGTTGTTTTTCATAAGTACAAAACATGGCACACTTATACAAGCGCACTTGTTGTTCCAAAATGATGTCCTGATGCTGAGACATAAATCGATTTAAATTAATCATGGTTGCATATCACGACACGAATACAATGAAAGGATTGCCATATTTCGAATTTTATCCTCAGTTTCTTATGAAAATCAGCTAAATGTAAATCGGATTTAAAAATTTAACTGCAAATGGCAAAAATCATATTGAAAACAGTACAATTGCAATAAAAATATACGTATGGAGTGTTTTTTAAGATTAGGCGTAAAAATAAATCAGAAAGTAAGTAGTATCATGAAAGCTTTGTGACGAATTTTTACGGCTTGAGACACCTGTACTAATCTTTATACAGTCCCTTATCTGTAGCTCATTGATACACTCACAATTCTCCAAGTAAGTTAACGAAAGTAATGGATTTACTTTTAACTCAATCTAATGTTAAAATTTTAAAATGAATTTGTTTCTGGGCATATTGCGCACTAAAACTTTCTCTAGTTTCAGCTACAGAAAGTCGAGTAATGAATTTACTTTTGACTCAATCTAATATAAAATGCATTTTGTTTCCAAGCATATTTCTTATAAAGACACTTACGATTCCCAATTCCACTACTGAGCGACAAGGGACAAGGAGACTCGTCCAATACGAGAAGTTTAAATAGCATTCATTTCTGGGCATATTACTCATTAAGACATTAACAATGCCTATCATAAGTTACAGAAAGTAGAATGATAAATTTACTTAATTAATAAGGAAAGTATTTTTTCCCATGAAAATTACTCATTGAGACACCGGTTCCAGCACTTACTTTTTAAGTCAAATTTTTTCAAAACATTTAAGGCAACTAAAACAACTATTCCTGTGGTATTTGGTTTCATTTCCCAAATAGTGAAACCTTGAAAATCGATACTGATGGGTTGGGAGGGAGCTTTCGATGGAGGATTAGCATGATATTCCTTGAAATCATCTAATGTGAGGCTTCCTCCTGAATTCTTAACTTCTGAAACAATTCTTTCTGCAATAGGTCCACAATAAAATGCTTCAGCACCTTTAGATGCTATTTCCTATACAGAAAATACATGATATGTATATAACAAAATAAACAAGCGTGAGGAATTGTGAAGTTTCAATAGTAAAATTGGTTAAAAATAACTTTAAGAAGACGAAAATTCTCTGATAGGGAGGGGCATTCTTATTCGAGTTAAATAACAAAATACATGAGACTTTATTGTGAAACGTTATAAGCAACAAAATGTCAAAATGTAACAGCAAATATGAGAGAAAATATAAATATGTTTTCTTAATATAGCTCTCATATCCTTTTAGAATTATTTATATCAGTAAATTTGTACAATTCATGTGGTATATTTTTTTCACCATTAACACGTTGAATACCACGCTAATTTTACGTGGCTTGCCAGTCTGGCCATAACGGTAAATAACTACAGACTAAATTTTTAAATATTAGACACATTTTGCTAGTTTTTAAAAGGTTTAGCATGACATATCTTAAAAAAAAGTGGTGAAGTATATAAACCTACGAATTGTTTAGAAATAGTGGTGGATAAAAATCTACTCAATTGAATTTATTAAACTAAGAATCACAATTAATGAACTAGCACCTGAAAATATTTATTCACTGTCCGGAGCAAGTTGGCATCTCTGTGTATATAAATAAAACTATTTCTGTGAATTCTATATTGCATTAATTTCTTCAAACCATATTAGTAACGATAATAATATCAAAAAATTAAAAATTTACTCGAATTATGCTTTTCTAATAATCTTGGCTTCGTCGGTCACCCCCGTGGTGCTACGAACACACTCAGTGCCGATCACCAGTGACCCCCATAGCATTCAACATGTTAATTTGAAATCTACAAGTTTCTTCAAAAACTCACAGATGGCAACTTGATTCACTGTTTATAAAATTTTTTGTTTGTGTGATAACATAACATTACGTCTGAAAGTATAAATGTAGATTTTAAAGTATTGTTTTACTCACAACGATAAAGCAATAATTCAAACATGTGTACAGAGTGCCCAAAAAAATGACCACCCTGAATAACTTTTGATCTATTGGTCGGATTTTCACGTTCGTTCCAGGATTCCATCTTAATGGCTTGAGGGGATGGCCTCAAATATGCTAATTAATAAGTGAAGACGATATTTTAAGTTACGAAATCAGACGCAAAAACGTACTCTCTCTAAAAAAAAATTATTTTTTTCGACGGTTTCGTATTTTTGCCCCCCCCCCCCAAATATAAAGAGTAGCCGCAATCTGGAAAATATTATCCCAATAGTTCGTTCAGGAGAGCGCTCCAAAGTTTAGACCCCTTAATATTAATTTACTTTTTGCATATTTCGAGAACTTTTTAAGCGAATTGAAAAAATTTTGCACACAATTACAAAATACGTTTATCCAAAGATAATTCCCAAAAAAAAATTTAAAAAAAAACTTTTAGTAAATATTCAATATTTTTTATTATTTTATTTAAGAGTGATCGAAAAAAACTTTGAATTGTAAGATATGCAAATTTTTGCATCATTTTAAACAATTTAATTTTACATGGCAAAATAGAAAAAGGAAAGGAAAAGGAAGAATCGTGACACATATTAAGATCAAAGAAGAAGGGTTTATTCCAGAGGCAGTAGATACGCTTGTAGGGAGAAAAAAATGGCGATTACCACTAAGCATTTTGAAAATTGGTTTCAAAAAGTACTACCTAAATTAAGACCAAAAAGTGTTATTGTTATGGATAATGCTTCCTATCAATGTTTTAAAAAAATCGTGTTGCTTGGAGCTTTTCATTGGTTTTACGAATAATGGTCGGCGGGATTTTACACAAATACAGTCTTTGTTTTTGTTAAAGAAATTCTTTTCACCTTTTCTCTTCCAATTTAAATAACCTTACTGTTTCTAAATTTTTTCATGTTTATTTATTAAAAATAGCATTAAAATTTACTGATGATTTTTTTATTCTTCTCAATACAAAGCCATATCTGAGCAAATTGTGATAAACCCATTCCTAATCATTAATGTTATTCTCATAAATACACGTAACTCATATATTAAGCTTGATTAAACACCTTATAGAATGATTAAACAACAAATTTAGGATTAATAAAAGAAGATGCTTCAGTTAAGGCGGTTTGTTTTTCCTTTTACCTTAAGACATTTAGCCAATTTTGGTGCAGTAATTACGTCACCAGCTTGAGGAGGTTTGCCATTAATAAGGAAGTCATCTTTGTTCTTTGATTCGATGAATGCCCTGGAAGCTTTGTTCCAAACACCAGCAGTTTTGGGTGCAATGGTTACACCTTCTTCGGCCAACTTGATGACTGGTTGTAAAATATCTGACATGGAAAGCTTTACAATTAAAGAAATGAGCATCTAAATTATTAGACATCACAGGTATTGAATAAATAGTTATATCATACTAATTACAAAACGTAATATATGGTTAAATAACCTTTCCGGATCCGAAGTGTCTTAGTACGTTGAACATTCCCTCTACCGCTCCAGGTATAGATACCCAAAGTCCTTCTTGAGAATACTTTGTTTCCGACGAATGGTGGATTCCAGCATTTTGGACATTCTCTAAAGTTGTATGGAGTCCAGTTTTCCCACTAAATTAGAAATACATGAAATTATTTAACGCATCTCAAAAGTTTATTTAATAACCGCTCAACTCATATCTTTCGTGAATTAAAGTTCCCCTCTGTTTATGTGGAAAAGTAAAGTAAAGCATTCCCGCAACATTCCGTTATGGACCAAGGGGTCTACAACTTTGTGATCAAGGGCATGATGTTGGCAATGCTTTGTTAGCACTGCACACAGACAGCCTTTACTCCCCAAACAAGCTGGTACCAATCGATCTGAAACTGCAAGGGCTACAAGCCACCATTGGTGGATCTAACCCTAGTTCTTGCCAGCTCAGTGCCTCAACAACTGAGCCATCAAGACTCTGATTTCATGGAAAGGTCATTTTGAATGGATGGAAAAGAAAAGTTGAAAGATATCTCAATTAGCTGTTTACACTTACCATACAAATCCTACGTTTACAGGGCAACACAGATCTTACAAAAATTTAACAGTGAAAAAAAGGGAGACAAACCTCGATCATTTAATATATTTGAGACCCCTTCCTTTACGCATGCCCACCAATTAGTATAGATTTTCCTTAGTTTCATAAATATTCTTTCTTAGAGGTGACAAAGATTATTCCTCAATATTTATAATAAATTAGATTTCAAAGACCACTACTTAAAAACAGATAAAACAGAGTAATTAAAGATCAGACAGGCGAATATTCACGTTCTTATCCAAATTATAATATATATGTTCATGTTATAATATATATTGATATTTTTTAATAATAAAAAACAGTTTAAAAGTTATTAAAAAAATCTGTTTGATTATCAGAATTTATATTTGCACTAGAACATGAAATTCAAAGAAAAGTAATTAAAACATTTTTTCATTCATATTCAAAAAATTGTCAGCAACTGATTTTGTAAATTTAAGAAATTTCAATTATGAATAACAGTTTCTCTTAGATCCACTGGAAATGAATCCAAATTTAAAGAATTATTGTTTGGAAGTGAGCCGTGTTTGTGGAAAATTTTGTCTTCAACTCAGAAAAGCACATAGGTGTTTCATGCTGTATTTCATAACCATAAATTATTAAAATGCTAAATATTTTTTCATTATTCTATCCTAAATTAATACAAAATAATAAAAAAATATGAAAAATATGTGCGTTAAAGGGTTAAATTCGGATAAAAGTTTTATAATAATTATATTTATTTTAAAACTTCTTCTGTTGTTTACTGCCACTGGAAAAATTAATTTCCAAATGCCTCAAATATAGGAGTATGTAAACTTGAGTTCTTGGGTTATAAAATATATCTATGTAAATAAAACTAAACGTTAAAATGACACGACTAAAATCAAGTGTATTTATGACGATTGCTGAACTTTTCTTATATAGTGGTAATTTAACAATATTTAAGTAATAATAACGTAAGTACTCCCTAAACAAAGAGTCATACCAGAAATGGATGGACAATAACACGATGATGATAATGTGGGCAGCGTAAAGAGCGACTGCCTATAACCCCAACACAAATTGTTTCTCAACGACCTGAAACCGGGTAGCCTTCAAGCCGTCAACAGGGAGGGAAACCAATCCTACTCAATGAAAGCTAAATATTAAAATAGCAAAATTTTGAAACTAAACTAAGGTGTGGGACTGATACAGATGTTGTGTATAAGTTCCGTTCCGAAAAGATTGAATGATTATAACAACACAACTGTCGAATTGTATAGCTATATAATTTTAAATATGTTTCAGGTAGTTGAAGTTTTTTTTAATCGTATAGCTATATAAGATGCTATATTCTTACCTTCCATTGATCTGTTGTATACTGTTATCTGACTTCCGGTAGAAAAGACATTGAATATCGCCTCCAATGCCACTCGTGGACGGGGCTAGTATTGACACTGCCACAAATGTTGCGATTGCTGCATCGGATGCGTTTCCACCTTTTTCTAAAATCTCTGAAAACACAAATAAAGTTATATATGAAGATTTTCAAAATTAAATATGAAATTCAATCCGATAGTTGATTCACTTTGGATTGAATTTACTTCTGTTCTAAACTTGGACTTCTGGCAATCATTTCCTATTCCAAAGAATATTAAGGAAGTAAGCATGCAAAAACTGTCACAGCATCTATAAAAATGCATCGACTGATTTAATGATTATGTTGGGAAATCACATGTTAATCCTTTATTAAAATGGTGGGAATATTATGGGGGGAAAACAGTATTTGGTTTTCAATTTAAAAAAGAAAAATGGGAGACTTTAATTTAGAGATTGCTTAAGAACATTTTTCAACTGTTGAGTTGTATAGCTATATAACTTTAAATGTATTTAAGGTAGCCGAAGGAGTTTTTTGTATAGCTATAAAAGATGCTATATACAATACATTTCATTTATAATTTTTAATGATCTTCTTATTGAAATTCGTCGTAAATTTTGCCGGGCTTTTAAAAAAAAATAATAATCAACTAGTTTAACTTAAAATTGTTCGCCAAGAAGGTGCTGAAAATTCTTTTCTCCTTGTTAGCTGAGTAAGTTTTAGCTGTTCTCTTAGCTCTATAAAGAATTTGAATCTATAGCTATATAAAGCTCAAATATATGGTCGAGAAACCTATTTTTTAAAAAAATTGACTCTATTAATTTATGAATGACCAACCACATATTTTGAAATGATGTAAAAGTTGCCATTGCGAAAAAAAGTGCTCGTACATACATGTTCTAAGTGAATATTTTCTTTTGTTACGTACCAGTATCACTTTAGCTTTAAGTACACACTATGTTTTGACTTCAAATATAAGTATTTTTATTAATAACATATTATTATAGAAAAAAATATCTTTGGAAATAAATTTTTATGATGGGGGTTGCCACGGGCGATTAAAAATGCAAAAGGAACTGACTATTAAGATTCAAAATTTTATTATAAAAAAAAATAAAATTAAGAACTTTTTGTAGCAATTTTTTTTTTAGTTTAATGTTGAAAATTTCTTTAAATATGAATTATTTGAAATGCAAGACATTAGTGGTAGTTACGGTTGAATAATTAGAGATAATAAATAAAAAAAGGGAATTTACTTTCTACCATCTTTTACATTTTTAGTCGCCTGTGGCAACTCTGTTATAATGAAACACACGTTCAACCATTTTTTACTGTTTTAAAAGCCACCTTTTTTAAAAGAACACTAATCTCAAATGAGTTTGAGAGTCTATCCCATGAACTTTCATTAAATAGATACTTAACTGATAACTTATTTTAGTCTTAAAATTTGTCTTAGAGTAACATTTTAAATGTGTTCACATCTAAAACAAAATTTTAATATTTGAAATTATAAAATTGCGAAATCTTAAAATTTAGTGGTAGCCAATACTAAATAATATAATAGTTTTTTATAATTATTGTGCTTTCTCCACACCATATTGGGATGGTTTAAATCAGGTTAACCGGTTAACGCCCAGCGTCATATATTTAGGACAGTTCCTTTTTTCAAAAACGTTCATTATGGTGTGAAATTTTTTTCACAGCATTTTTATTTATCTGGGTGAATTAAAAGATTCTCAGATACCACAATGATTTAGTTATTTCTGACTAGTTCTAGAATTATAAGGAGCAAGTACTTTTTGATCTATCAAAAACTTTCTGAATGCCCTAACAGTAGAAAAACAATTAATTTCGAAAATATATTATACCACTTTTTCTATAAAACCACTTTTTGTATCATTTCAATATGTAAATTCGGGACAAAACGGGTTAAAAGAAAAAACGGGAATTTAGAACAAGACTTTATTTGCAATTTCTTAAGGGTCAAGTTATAGTAAAAATACTTTAAACAGACGCAAATTTATCAACCATTAGACATCAACAAGTTATTTTATGCAAGGTTTGAGTAGAAGGATAAAAACATGTTTTGATTTTATGTATTTTATTTTAACTTCCTTATAAATTTCTGGCTTTTTTGTAAAAATTTTTTTATTTAAATCATAATAATAATCTAAATTATAGTCAGTAATTTATCGGAATAATGTAGTTAGTTACATTCCTAATTCAATAACTTTAGTTTTAAAGTGCAATAAGACTATTAAGCATTGAACTAATTTACAAACACGAACAAGGTTGCGAATTATTACGATTTTTTCAAAATGCTTTATAAAGCGATAGACAATTAAAATCTAAGGCTTTCAGAATTTTTGGTAATTTTGCCAAGGTTTTAAAAGCCTCACCATGAATGAGCTGTGTCAAAGTAGGTTTCATTTAAACTTTTGAATAATTTACATGTAGTGATGTGGATAATAACTTTAAATCGAATTTATGCAACAAAGAATAATTCATAAAAACATAAACTTAGGTATAGTGTGGCTTTCAGGAGAACTCCTACAGACACCCACCCGTCTCGCTTCGTGGCGGGTACTAAGGTTACGAGGAAAGGTCACTTCGAATAGGGGTGAGGGGTGAATAGTTTTGTCTTAATCTTAGCGTAGGTTGTCATGAGTAAACCAATCGACACCTTCTTTCCTCCATTTTACCCCCATTAGAAATGTGCTCCAGCTTGTTACCATAGGAGCAGACAACCCCAGACTTCTCCTCAAAGCCGCACTGACATTTTTCCGCAAAGCGTAGAAAGTTAGCAGACTTGGTTGACATTTACGACAAAACATGATAGTTAACGAATAAAACAGCATACCTAGTCCAATCTTTGTAGCTATTGGTTGCTCAGAACATACAGCTGCTTTCTTTGTAATCAATGATGACGTATTTCCATATAAACTCATTTTAAAAGCAATACTTCTATAAATTTCAAAATATAAGTAAAAAAATATATACGTTATCTACATTCATAGTAAAATTTTTAAAAAGCGTAACTTTAACTTTTGGAATCGAAAATTATAGTATATGATTCGAAAGCAATAGCAATAATATGAAACAATTTTATTTCTATTTCTTTCATTATTACTTTTAATTTTATTTTGCAGCTTAATAATTTTAATTATTTTTATCAATAATTTATCAAACTTTTTTTTCAAAGTATTTTCTAAAGTAGTAGACTCTTAAAAACTAAATCTTTCAGAATTTTTGAAGCCTCACTACAAGATAGCTGGGGCAAAGTGGGTTTCACATAAACTTTTGAATCAATTACACGTAATATCAGGTAATATGTAATAAGTGAAAAAATATAATAAATAAAATGAATTAATTTATTTTTAAACTAACATTATTTTAAAGCAGAATTCAATTAAAAAGAGTTAAGAAAATTGCTCTAAATTATTGCCAACTATTATTTCTCATTTAAATATTGTTAATAAATTAGAATTAAACGTAAAATAATGCTGTTTATGAATAAAAATAATAAATAATTCGAAAATGTCTAGAATACCTAACAATTAGCTGCTGCATTCGAACCCGGGACGACCTATCGTTATTCAGGTTCTTTACCACTGAGCCACGGCACAGCAAGTACGCTTAAATTTAACACCAAAATAAAGCGCTCTTGAATTTTCAAGCATATTGTTTTCGTAAATTGTCCGGCTTGCATCCGTAATTAATTTTAAGAGTTAATATTCTTAAAATTTTCTACTATTATATAAAGCTTCACTCCAAAGTAAAATTTTCCGCGCCATGCTTTCCTTTTGTTATTAATTATTGAAAATTCGATACGGATAAATACCCAGGATTTTCTATAATTAAATTCGTTATTTTTTGTTTATGAGAAAGAGAAACTCACGCAGCCTCTTTGTGCACGATTGAAGATTATAAACTTGTTCTGTAATAATAACTGGCAGTTTTAATTTAATTTTTTTACTAAAATAAACTAATTTTTCTACTAAATTTCTACTAAATTCAATGAAATAAACTAACCATCACATAAAAACAAAATTCTGTGATGAAAATACATAAAACAATAAATTATTAGGCATAACAGTTAATAACTTTTGTGCTAGAAAATTAGCTTAATTTGCCTGAGTTTTATAGAAAAACTTTGTTTTATAAAAAAATGAAAAATACGAGGCAATTTAGCATAAATATATATTTAATTTAATAATATTTATTTTCAATACTAAAATGTTTTAAATTTTTGCTCTGATTTCATGTATCCCATCATACAACCAGCTTTTAAATATCGGTCAACAGTAAAATCACCGATTCCGTTAGCATGGATACAAATAAGATATCGTTATTTGATATCAGCCCAATTATATTAATTCCGTTGAAATATTGTTATCTGAAATACGGTATCGACACTTTATAAGAAGTCTTGCATTGATCCGAATCTGATACAACCAATACCATGCCAATAAAATGCCGATATAAGACGGTCCGATGACCGACAGTTGCCGATATCACCGACAACGGGCCGCAAAGTTAACGACCTAATGTGTTTGCTGGGAAGTAATGAATGGTGTAAATGCCCCATGGATTACATCACCCATCAAATACTTTAAAGGAAACCAGCTTATTTATTGATTTTTTTTTAAACACAAAATGGCCAAAACAGTGTAAGTTGTTGCTTAAACTATTGTAATCACAAAGATTATAAAGAAATGTCATGGTGTGTTCGGTTTTTACCTTTACTTAATATCCAAACTTCCTAAAACAGATTCCTGCAGCTAGCTTAAGTCACACTTATTGCAAGGTAACTTAGACATTTACACACGTCAACGTAGAGTGTAATTGTGTAGACCAGCGGTTCCCAGATGATTCTCCTCGGAACCGAGGGGTTCCGTACTGGACGGCTCACACGGGTTCCAAGAGTCATTTATTATTAGTCCTATCATGTTATTAATATCCAAACAACACACCATCATTTATTGGACATTTTGGTTAATGAAATTATTTAAGTGAAATAATTAAAAAAGAATTAGAAAAGTTTTTAAAAAAAATATTTCTCCCAATAATAATATATTGAATAAATTATGGAGAGAATATGCATTTATAAAAAAATTGCATTATTATTGCTCATTGAACTTTTCCATTCCATATAAAAATCAAATGAATGAAATATAAAATCATGATCAAAATCTAGAATGAAGAATTAAGTTCCTCGGTAAACCATTTGAAAGCTATAAGCTGCGTATGCAAATACCAAAAACAAATTCAAAACTAGTCTAAATTCCACTCCAGATTTTCGAATTGATATGTTGATTATAGATGATAGATAACTCATTTTAAGATTATTATTGGTAAAACGATAATTGAATAAATTTACGACTTCACATTAAATATGATCAAAATGATTCGTTATTATTATTTTTTTAGTTAGTATATTCACAGCTATTAATTTTAATTATTAGCTTGGGTGTTCCTCCAAAAGATGTTCAATCATTTAGGGTGTCACAGCCGTTAAAAAACTGGGAACCACTTTTGTAGATCAAAGTTTTACAACAAGTAATCTCCAAAGTCAATGCTCAGAAATAGGAAAATGCTTTTTAACCGGTTAACGCCCAGCGTCATATATTTAGGACAGTTCCTTTTTTCAAAGACATTCATTGTGGTGGGAAACTCTTTTCAGTATTTTCATTTATCTGGATAAATTAAAAGATTCTCAGATACCATTATGATTTAGTTATTTCTGATTAGATCTAGAATAAGAAGCAAGTACTTTTTGATTTATCAAAGACTTTTGGAATGCCCTAACAGTAGGAAAACCAATTAATTTCGATAATATATAATACCACTTTTTCTATAAAACCACTTTTTCTATAAAACCACTTTTCGTATCATTTCAATATATAAATTCGGGACAAAATGGTTTAAATAATAAAAATGAATAAATGATTTAACAGGATTTCCATGGGTCGAAGAAACAATTTAATTGCTTTAACGGAAAGGAGGATCACATAAAATATTTCTAGTCACCGCTATATTTTACATAGTAAATAAAATCAATTTATATTAAAATTGCATCCTGTCAGTAATGAAAGGGTTAATATAAAGTGGTAACAGAGGCAGAAAAAATTTCTCCAACTATCAAATATTTCTAAGTCTCGTGGATGCCCAGTTCAAATTTCTTCTCAACTTTTCGATATACTTTGCAAGCAATAATGTTTTCGTAGCAAAGCGTTTTGTTATTTTAAACATTTAAGAAAAATTTATGCTTTTAAAAAAAAAAATTCAAACATGATATGCAAACGAAAAAAATAATTAAAAAATTTCCAGAACCATTTTTTTTTTTTTTTTTTTTTANTTTTTTTTATTTTTTTTTTTTTTTTTTTTTTATTTTTTTTTTTACACTAAGCACTGATTCTCAACCTTTTTTTTTTGTTGAGGCAAACTTATAACGATTTCGAATGACGGGACACAATGAAAAAATTTAGATTAAAACTTGTTTAATTACCTATTTTACACCGTGTTAAATAGTTTGTGATAATAATTTTGAATGTGAAATATAATACTATGTACTACAAAAGCACAATGGGGATTAATTATTTCTCTCGACCAACAAAAGGGATTAATTATTTCTTTCGACCAATTTTTTATTAGTTAGTAACAGTTATTTATTTTTTTGCTAGTAATTAATTGTTAGCTTGTTTTCTATAATTATTAACTGCTATTTTTTGTGATTTCTTGTTAACTAGTTTTTTTGCTAATTATTAATTGTTAGATTAATTTTTGTTAGTTATCCTTTGTTAATTTGTTTTTCATATATTTGTTTTTTTAGTTATCATTTGTTAATTTGTTTATTAATTGCATAGCTTACTTTAATGATTAGCTCATACAACATTTTTTAAAATTGTGTGTCATATACAATTTAAACACTTCCATCTTATTTTAAGATTGTCAGAGACAATACAGTCGCCGACAAAGATGTTCACGCTGTTAAAACGTGGAAAAATTATAAAAAGTATGCATATATATATACACTTTTCTTTAATTTAAACTTTACTCATAATAAAAAAAAGCATTATATTTTTTATTATATCATTTCTAATATTTGGCGGCACATTTTAGAAATTTGGCGGCACATTTTAAGAATTTGGCGGCACACAAAAGTGCCGCGGCACAGTGGTTGAAAAACACTGCACTAAAGCACCTAAGGGAAGGAGGACGGCATTCAAACTCTGAATTTGTTATTTGAAGACGAGTTTACGCAATCACCGTTTAAAACTGGTCTATGTTAACAAAAGCCAGCCAGATTGTGTCTGCGATTACTAAACCTAGATTATGCCACCGCGTTGCACGGGTAAAACATAATTTTGTAAAAATAATTTCTTTTCTCTTATAAGAAGAAGAACGAAATAAGTGTATCTTACCTGTCGGCAATTGGTAACACATTCTAAACTCGCACAGAAAAGATAAAGCATTAGAAAAATCTTCTTACTATCTAGCGATAACAGATTTCTTATCAATAAATAGAAATCTTCAGAAAAACATATTAGTCGTTTAGCGTAAATTAAGTTTAATAATGAGTCTTTCATTTTTCATGTAACTTAAGTTTTAAGACATAACTATACCCTTTTATAAAACTTTTATCTTCATTTAAGTCCTAATTGCTTGATAATTATAAAATATATATAGACAAAATTGATAAATATATTATTCCAAATCAATGCCTATTTATGTGCATTGTTCTCATCAATGCCTTCTTATGTGTACTTTTACAAGTCCGTCTCAATCAGTTTACCCCATCTGAATCAAGCCGATCGGCCTGTGTAGGGGGCAGGGAACTGTCCTTGCATCAGAAAGGTTCTGGCTTCGAATCCCGGGCGAGGCATGGATGTTCTTCCTGTACAATCTGTTCTCTGTACAATCTGTCCTTACTGTGGGAGCCACGTTGGCCCACCTAAGATGGTGCCCCTGAAAGAGAGGTCAACAAAATTGTCCTGTAGATGCCTGAATTGACGGATGTTAACACAGAAAAAAAAATTATTAAAACTATATTTTCTTCAAATATAAATTATTAAAACTATATTTTTTTCATCTGTTAACACCTAAATCGTTTAACCACTTCTCTACTCTATCTAACCATCTTTTTCTAGGTCTTCCTCTTTTTCATTTTTCTTCCGGTGCTTGAAAGTTTTTTCTTTTTTTTTTCCCTGCAGGATTCTCACATCGGTATATCGAAATACATGTCCTAGCCACCTTATTTGAGACACTTTTACCATTTTAACAATGTTAGGTTTTTTGTATTTTGATTGTAATTTATGGTTGTAACGAATTCTCCAGGTTCCGTTTTCTCTTACTGCACCAAAAAATTTTCTTCACATTTTTCTTTCGAAAGTCATCAGTTTCTCTTCGTCTGCTTTGTTAATTGCCCAGAATTCGCTGCCATATAAAACTATTGGTCTTACTACTGTATTTTTATGTACAACTGTACAACTGTGTCTTGTACAACTGTATTTTTATTTCACAACTTATGTATTTAGATTTGAACTGATTTCGCAATCAATGATAACATTTATTAGCCATATTGAATCTATTTTTGATTTCCATTTTTATGTCATTATTAACTATTGTGCCTAAATATTTAAATTCAGTTACTTGTTCAAACTCATATTTATTTTCAGTGGTTCCAGATTTGTGATTATGTTTGTTATTGCTATGAATTTGGTTTTTTCTTCGTTGACTGAAAATTCTATGTTTTTTTGCTGCTGTCTCGAGTGCACAAAAAGCTGTTACTATAGCTTCTCTAGTTCTTCCCGCGATATCGATATTGTCTGCAAATGCTAGCAGTTGTAAGGATTAAACAAATATTGTGTTCTACATTTGTATACCAGAGGCTCTAATTGCCTTTTCTAGTATTATATTAAAGAGATGACATGACACTCGAGACGAAAGTGGTTGGCTGGTTCTAATGCCACTTGCCACACGGGCAAGCCTGCTTGGTTAACACGTTCACGCCGGGAAAAGTGAAAATACTGGTACGGAAAAAGAGAAAATACTGGTAGAAGAACTATTTCAATATTAGATAATATTCGGGACGAATTAATCTATTCTCAACAATAACAACTCACTGTAAGGAAATTTATAACGGCGAAGAAGCAAATTCAATATAAAAATTGCATCTGTTAACAAAAATTGGTAGTTATGGATTTTTATTATTCCCGGAAAAAAACTAAAAAATGAAATTTATTGTTACCAGTTTTTACTCCAGTGCGCTGCAGTAAAATGACACAATCTAGCGTGACAGACCGGTGGGTTACCCCGGCGTGAACGTGTTAAACCGAGCAAATTTAAGGCACAGTGTGCGTTTCTTGTTTTTCAGTGGTGCCATCTATGGCCAAGAATTTGACTTCTGCCACATCATACGTCGCACTCGCTTATAGGGCGGACCCATTCATTCTCAATGACCTAACTATCGATAATATCAGCAAAGTTGAATGAAAGCTTCTTCAGAGAAGCCACCAAGTGCACCAAATGTAACTACAATCAAATATGTAGTTTTCAACTCATCAAAGAAAATACTAAACCCTCTTCTGGCTCTGCATTTTTACTTTCAGGTGGGGTATGGTCTAAATTTTTTAATTAACTACTTTTGTTCCCCCCTCTCTAAACGTTGACGAGTCCCATCACCAGCATGAAGTCCACTTAAGTGGTAGGATACGCGGGGGTGATTGAATGAGTTATTTCTGTTTTAAGTTTAATTTACTTTCATTTGAATTGTTAATTTAGCCTTGCTCTTTGCACAGTCCAGTGCTTTAATGTGCTCACCTCATGATAAAGAAGATGCTCCTTCGGGGGGCTCTTCTGTTAGATAACACAATGATTTTCAACACACAATTATATGATTTCAGATCCAAATCACCGAAGACTATCCGTATACAAAATGGTGACGCTAAATCTGTCGTGGTCGCAAAGTTCTCCACGATCCCACAACAAATCAATACTTCTGGAGGCTCTGGTTCAGGTCTAAATTACGACCTGCGGATGGATGGTGTGTGAATGCCCTATCTGTCTCCNAAGCATATACTGAAAGAAAACACAAATAATTAAATTCGAAAAGGATAAAACTTCTTTGAAAACAACAACAATCATTTCAACATCAAACATCAACATCAACAACAACAATCATTTAAAGCAAATAAAATCACAATGAATAAAATTCAAAGGTAACTGTTTAAAACTATAATAGATGTATATTCTTTTATACTAAATTTGCTTTCGGAAAATGAATAAATGTAATAAATTTTTTTTGATATTTAGGAATGTAGGCATAGTGCTTTATAGAAGTGTAAAAGGCAACAGTTGCAAACAAAACAAAAATATTTTCTTACAAGTAACACATTTATTATTCTAATACTACTAGTAAATTAAATATCACTGTTAAAATACAAGTTGAAAACAACATACAAGTTGAAAACAACATACAACATACAAGTTAAAATTAAATACAAGTTAAAATACATAAATATACACTATTTGCTAATTTATTTTTAAAAAAATTCTGGTTAGGCTATCAAATCCAACAAATGCTAACTCGTGAATTTTCACTGCAAAATAATTCACTTTAATACATTGATAATCTAATAAATTCCTACCAAACTGATAAAATTTGAAACAGTTAAATCAATCTTAAACTTCCCATAATTATCAACTCTTCCTTTATCAGGATCAACAACATTCCAATTCAATCCATAACTTTGACCTTACCTTAGAAGTAAATTTATACCTTAGAAGTAAATTTAACATTATTCTGAACATGGGCTAAGGCTCTTCGTCTTTAAGGCTGTCCTTTTCTGTAACTATAGCGTCTAGTTCTATATCTGGTATTACTTCTAGTAGCTTGTCTATAATTTGATCCAGTAACTCGTCATCGATATCGTCTTTTAACGCTATATTTAGCCATTGCACTATTCACTATCATTATCTGAAAAAATATCGATTTTTGTGCTATCCTTATATAATGAATAGTATTCCTTGGGCACTTCAAAATCATCTTCATTAACCCCATTTTACATAAATGAGATTCAAATGCAAGCTTCGTTTTATAAGAAGCTAGTGTCTTACCACAATTCAATCTAATCAAATATTGATATCTTTTCCACATTTGAGGAATATCACATTTATCAAACACTTCTCTCCATGTGTCATAATTATCATAAGCATATTTAATATAGGTCTCATTATCCAATTTATTATTCTCTATAGTAGTATCAGCTACTTTAAAATTATCTTGCAAATACTGTTTAGTTTCATCAAAGTTATGCTGTAAAACCCTTCGAGTGTTTTTCATGTACTCTTTAAGACTTTTAGAAGTATTTACTACTAAAACGTTAATGCCATTAACACCAGGTTTCGATATAAATTTATAAACCACGTTACTCACAAATCGTTTAAAATTATTTTTGGCTTGAGCTTTAGTCAATAATACCATCATATGTAAATGAGGCTTACCATTCTTATGTGGTTCAATAACATAATCTGCCTCATCACATTTCTGATCGATTAATCCAAATATTTTATTCGCTTTCGGATGCGATACACATTCTTTTGTCGAAACGGTCACAAAATACGCTCTGCAATCCTGTTCCATATTAAATTTTTAACAATCCTTATAATATATTTTTTAATAAAAAATAAAGTGATCAATTAAACCCGTTGTCATCTTTTATATAATTGTTATCTCTATTCCTTATCTAAAATAGTGAACTTTAACTATTCTTTATCTAAAATGGTGAAATTTATAATTTCGTTATTCATTGTCTGAATGTTTATCATTTCTGGAACATTCGATGAGTGTCACGAGTGTGCTTGTATTCCTCTTGTTGCCAAGGTATTCCTGAGATGTGAGGGCTTCCAAAACTTCGTCAATTGTCGAGTTTAATCGGTAGAGCGATTTTACGAACGATTGCAACACTGTCTGCTTTATCTAAACATGCTTTTATTCGTAGAATCGGGCTATCTTCTTTCATATTTTTAGAAATTAATATTCTTTATTTATTTTGCCACAGATTTTATGCAGTTATGATCAATCACTAATAGATATGGAATTCTGTAATAATTATAAAAACATTACAATGCATGTTGATCATTTTGAAATATGTTGAGTTGGTGTTTGGAATTTTGTCTGACATATTTTTTGCTTTTTTTAATTGGATTTCTTTTTTTGAAAAAGATAACGTTCATTAGATCTTTCTATTTAATATATAGGTTTAACAAGTTGCTTTGCACTAATTGGTATTAAGTATTGGTATATGTTCTTCATGTCCATTATCTGATATAGCTATAGTTTGAAATTGTTCTATGCTATCTCTTCGAAGATAAAAAACTTGATATTGAAGTACATAAATGATAAAAAAAATTTCCACCCCTAATTAAAAAGAAAACTACGTATATATTTTCTAATTCTTTAAAAGAGTTTTTTCATCAAGCTTAGTTTTTTGAAAAAAAATTTATTTGATATTTAAAATCGAACAATTTAAATCAAATTAATTTAAATAGCGTTTATTGATTAGTAGGTGTAGTTTTAATCTGTTTATCAAATATATGTGATTATGTATATATTACGTTGTTTTACTCTAGGTCCTGTTCCTGTTTTATAATAAGAAGTACTTATAGAAACTAATGTTGGCTGGAAACCTGTAATAAATTGTAATAATTCCTTTTATTGATAGATGAATTGTAGTGGTATCATCCATGAAGAATTTTCTACCCCAGATAAAAGTTGGATAAAAATTATTATTATAATATCTTGTTATTGTAACTAAAATTGTCTGCAACTTAAAGAAATGTCTACCTTTTTAAAATGTTTGACTTATGAGCAGGATCGTTGATTTTACAAATTCTTATGGAAAAAAAACTTTTACATAATTTATTTTTGCTTTGTTTTACTAAGACATTTCTCTTAAAAAGCATAGAAGTAAAATTATTCAACAATCAAGAATATTTTCTAGTTAAGGATTAAGCTTAGGGGAGAGTGGCTCACTTTGGGACACTTTATATTTTCATTTTTGATCAATTATTGTCAAAATTTTACCTGGTATTCTTGTAACATTTGAAACCATTTTTAACTAGGTTTTGATTTTGTATCTGTCATAGAAAATATTTAAAAAAATGTTTAGTTACCCTGTTATTTGTCCCAAGGTGTAACTCTTAGTGGGGCACCTTGGGACAATTAAAAAGATGAGAAAAGTTCAGTAGAAATTTTTTAAAAATAGTATAATTAAATAAATTTAAATTTTTCAATTTTGTTAATAAATTTTGAATTGTTAGTTTCAACTTCTTGTAGGCAAATAAAATTTTTCAGAATCAAATACCAAACCTAAGGAACGTTCAAAACTTTGCTCTGCTTAAGTTTTAACAAAATGTAATTGGAATCTATGTATGATTTTTTGAGCTAAATAAATATAGCAGATTGATTCACTATTCTCAAAACTGATAGCTCTTACTCATATCTCCATCAACTCTTTTAACGCAACCTACAAAGGTAACAACAGATCTTTAACCAGAAAATTTGATGTGAGCAAAATCTCCAATATTGGACAAATGGAACCATCTTCCTATGAAATGGATATTTTTTCCACCGTCCATATTATAGCGTGTATTTCTTGGATGAGTTTAGGCTCTTTTATGTTCAGGAGCCATCCGGTCC